GTCCCGCCCTCCATGTAGTCAAAATAAAGTCATGCAGATTATAAACGTATAAATTCGGGCAAAAATTGGGGGAAATGAATTTAAAAAGAAGACAGTACATGCAATATGGTATTTGAAAATACCAGAAATATGTAAAAGTAACGAGGAATCGACAAAAAGGAAAATATTTTTGTCTACTTCCCAACGACAATTTTGGAAATTTAGTTACACGGAAAGTTTTATTCAGTGGGTAAAAGTCGGGTAAATTTCTTTCTGGCTCCCTGATTTTTTCCCGCCCGTACGCCTATGACGGCTGAACTAATTTCATTTCCTGTGTATCGGAACATAAAGCAAACAATATTTGCGAAACATAATTTAGTATGCTCAAATTCTCGAAATTAAAGTAAACAAGAGGCATATACAATCAAAGGAATAATCCAGTATAATATAAAACAAAAACTTTCGCAAAAATTTAGCCACAACATTCAATAATAATAACTATTATCTAATAACTAGTTTTATCGCTTCCTTATATATTACTGTCCATCCTTCCCGCTTTACATGCACCTATTTCCGCGAAAAATTACTCATATGTGAAGCTACATATAAATACTAGGACTTTACAATCACGTGCGAGACATATTACCACCCGATAGAGTCGCACATACGACAAAAGAATCCTATTTTTACTGGCTCGTATTTATGAATTCACAATTGTATGAATCGTTAGATTGTGATCAACGTGGATTTCTTAATACGCTCTCGTTTGATATAAACGTACGTTAATGAATAAGTGACATTTTAGTTACAAGCCTGGAGATGGCTGTCAAAATTCAGCGGAGTTTATGTGTCAGTTAGAATGAAATGACATGTGAAAACATTTAGCAAGATTGAGGCATCAAATGCGATATTATTTTCTTATCCAATCTTTTTTGTTCACGTTATTATTATTGACTGTTGCAGCAATATTTATTGGAAAGTTTGTATTTCAGCCGTTGGTACTTGTTACGGAATGGCTATGTAAAGCTATATATATATAGATTGTGTTAAACGTGGTTAAAAAATAAAAATATTTTGACTTTGTTGTTTCTGATGACATTTGTCGACTCTCGACTTTTTACTCTCGACTCTCGACTTTTACTCTCGACTCTCGACTTTTACTCTCGACTCTCAACCTTTACTCTCGACTCTCGACCCTCGACTTTTAGATACACTCCGACTGCATCACGACAGCGAAATAGCAAACATTTCTTGATTTGATGATTCATGATTGATAAATTTCTTGCGAATATATTTCATTTTTACTCGCATTTTTGCAATATTTTGTAAATGTCAAAAGCTTTCTCAGAAAGAAACTGCGAAAGAATCGGCTAAAAGAAGGGAGCCGACGTTAACGAAGGTAAGTTTGTTTTAAATATTGATTTTATAATGGCTTTAAAACCCGACGGCCTTTGCGAATATGAAACAACTAAACAACACAGAATATAATTTCAGTGTATCTTTAATATTGATTCCCTTTTTATTATATTGAATTTTTTAAATAAAAAAGAAAGCAAAGTTATTTGCAGGCGAGAATTTGAAATAATTTTATTGCAAACTCGAAGTTTATCGATAAAGCCATTTAATTAAAGGCAGTTTAGTTAAAGAGAACTTTAAAACGTTTTGCGAAGCGTTTGTGGTTGAAATTTAACTTTAAATTGAGGCTTATATTACGTATAATAATATACCCAACATATATATGTTGGGAAATTGATAATTTTGTAATTAAAAGTGATATTTTTAGGCGATTTTCATTTGTAAGAATATTCTTAAAAAAA